CATATCAAACATCTTTTTTGAACGAGTATAAGAATAATTAGCCACTCTTATTGACTGACAGGTCGTTGTGGTAAACTCATAAAGGGCCCCTTAGACGTGTCACGAAAATTGATGACTCATAGAGTCACAATGCTTACATGTGATTCATTTATGCTTGTCGCGTATCTAATAATAACATACCTTCAAAATAAACGATGTAACTATGTGATGATTAATCATGTTAATAATATTGTATATACACATATGAGGCCATAACAATGTGGAATAAAATGGAAAGTTAAAATTTAACTCGTTGTCTTCTATCGGTGCCTAAGGGCGTTTGAAAAATTTGGTTTCGGTGTACTGTTGACGCCTATAAAATGTTATTGACAATAATTGTAATAAAGCTCGCTAAGACCTGACGTAAGTGAATTCTAATTCAACAATTACATCCTCCGTCAGTCATATATTATATAAACGTGATTATTTTAGATCGGTTTAATTTCGTTCATTTCAGTGTTTCCATGATTTCAACACTCTTTCTTAAAAATACGCATTGACGCAGAATTCTGCCGTAGCCAAAGAGTTAAGGTTCAAATACGATAGTTCAAACGTGTAATTAATGTATCCTCTACTCGAAGTAACAAGGATGCGTTGAAATACGCTTTTAAAGCATGAAATTAACTGAAGTAACGCATAAACGTTCAGTGTAAAAGTGCCATTTTTTCAGATTACTGCGTGTGCACTTTCTATTATTTTGTAATAAATTTTTGCTCGTATATATCAGCAGTGTATAGCGTGTGAGTAATTAAAAAGAGCAAACATACGTAGTCCTATGAAAAAAGTGAGTGTACGTTAAAAGCTGTGGAAAAATTGCATCAAAGCGCGCAAAAGAGACGTCCGTGTCTGAATATCGCTTTTCCTCTTTTCGACTAATACGCATGCCCTGTGAACGTGCGCTCAGCTATCTAATGGATAAACTGTATGTTCCGAAAATCGAACTTTCGCTGTTTAATCGCTGATACGTTTAAACTGAAACCTGAGTTTATGAAATGCTACAGCACTTTCCTATTTATATTTCAGCAAATCTTTAATGTTCGGACACCTTTGTACGTGATATTAAACCTAAGGAAAAGGTAATTAATGACGAGAGAAAATATTCTGATAAAACTAAGATATTTGTTAGACTGGAAACGTTACAATTAATACTAGGATAAAATAAAACTAGGATGGAGATGATAACAATGATCTACAAAAACTTCTTCTGTTAAAGAAGGTTTAATGGGTGGGTCTTAATTAATATTTTTTATACTGAATTTAAATTTGTAATCAGTTTCCCTCGATGACCCCCAGTTTTTGAAAACTAAATGTTGGAAAAAATTAGAACCTTCATCGAGCTGTAACTTTTTCCTAGTTGAAGTTAGAAAAACATGATACAGGATAAAAATCAAGACTGTAATATACCTACTACATATACTTATGATAATAAATTTTTATACATCTAATAACGCACGTATATTCTGCATTTACACTATTTTATTAAATTAGAACTCACCTCTTCCTACTCATGAGTTAAAATCTCTCTTTATTCTGTGTAAGAAGTTAATTTACCATCAGACAATTACCATGACCGAGAAATTACTTGTAGTAAATGAAGCGTATGTGTAAAAATTAGCAATTAAAGTTCGATATGCAGGTTACATTGAAATGAAACACAGTTTCGTTGATTTTGCCTTTAATCTCCGAGGATAATTGTTGTTTTTAGGAAAATCGTTAAACTCATATTCAACGACATATGTTAATTTGACCTGATTGGGTACATAACATCAACATTCGTTCTACTTTTTTCCTGCTGACTACGATTGAACTTAGCCAAGCGCGAACCCAGGAGAGGGTTGCAAACGAATTCAATGGAAGTAAACGAGATCGAGCGCCGCACGAGACTTATACGGTTTCAGTTCTTCAATGCGACTCGTGTTTCGAATTGATATCAGAATTGCTCGCTTCGCATGCTGGTATTTTTCAGAGTATCTTTACCAAACCTTTACCAATAGTTTAGCAAAATTCATTTATTCAAAACCAATTTATTTACGAATATCGCGAACTCGGATAAATTTCGATCTCTTGTTTTAAACTTACATTCTGTTTCCTCACGTTGTAGAGTATCTGTCTTTCCTTATAATATATAATATATAATATATAATATATAATATATAATATATAATATATAATATATAATATATAATATATAATATATAATATATAATGTAATAAATATCTGTCTTTACTTATAAGTATTGAATAATTTAGAAATAGTTCATTTAAAAATAAATAGTCAATACATTTTTGACATCCTAAGTAGATCCATGCTTCTATTTTCGCAATTTCATTATAAAATGTTACAACTTATCTTAGTAATTGATTTTTAATTATGATGCTACTATTACAGAGTCAGACCTTTTATTTGTTTTATTGAAATCACAATTTATACAGCAATGTACTTCATTAATTGGATAAGCTAATGCATGAACAAACCTGAGTGTACTCGTGACCGGTCAACAATGTGTTAATTTATTCATCGGTATTGATTGTGTCGCTTCCAAATTAATCCCAGCGGTCGCAATAACTCCAACGGTCGAAACACCACTGCCACTCAATTTATGATGTAGTCTTAAAAATACGGAGACAAATCTGTTTTATGTTTTCCATCGACAAAAACTGATAATCCTGATGCGGCCACTTTAATTTTCAGAATATTTAAAGAAGTTTCGAGAAGATAGAATTTATTAAATTGTACTTATTGGACCCTTAATTGAACAATTACACGCAACTATGAACATAAGAATTATTGCTATAATACTTTCTAACTGAAAATATATTCAAATATTTAGAAATATTTTCTATCGAAAATCAAAAGTTCTTTTTATCGTTACATTAACAATTTTCTACGAAGTGCTTCTTAAAACCATCGCCTCAATGCCAAACAAAACAATTTCGTAAAATTTCGCGGAAGGAAATTTTCGAATGTATCCTTGTTTTCTTAAATTTTATAGATCTCATAACAAATAGTTATTACAGTTTCGAAACGTACGATCGTTATTGCTTATCAAATTTTAACATTCACTATATCGCTATACATATACACAGTCCAAAGGAATAATAAAAAATCAAGTCTAAAAATTCCCTCTTGAATGATGTAAATTCCCTCTTAAATGTAAAATCACAGTACGTTTTGAATAATACTGTAACCCGAGGGCGTATTATTTGGCGCAGGAAACAGCCGTAGGAGTAAAAGACATATAATTCAAAGGTTCCCGCAGTCGCGCCGTAGATAGAAGTTAATGGCGTTATGCTTAGCGTCTTAGTTCCCTAGGTGACAGAGGTGGAGTAAGGGAAGCCCCATTTACATCATAAGTAAAACTCGAACAGCACAGCTTTAAGCGATGCGATCTTAAGGCTGGGGGATGACAGAGACTCGATCTTTCGAACACAGAAAACCCTATCCACGAGGTCGTCCTGACTCCGTCGGATCCTCGCCAACGAAGGAAGACATATTTAACGAGGACTTTGGTGCCTTCGATCAGCATCATCGAGAGAGAAAAATGTACCTCCGTAGGACCTCCATCTTATCTTTCTTGCGCGGCTCCAGTCAGCAGCAAACCGTTCTGGGTTAAATCTCGGTACTTTGCGGACGAACAAACGCCTTACCGTTCGCTTTCTTTATTTTTCTTACTGTAGATAGCAGTTTATTTTGCTTACTCGACGAGCAGACGTAGGCAGACCCGGTAATTATTTGGAATCGAAGCATTGGTCGAGGAAATACGCTTTCACTCATTGTTAGTGGTTAACACGTTGAGCGGCGCACGATTTTGCTGAGGAAAATATAGAAAATGAAAATAATGGAATATCAACTTATGTAATTGAACTGCGTTTTTATTATTGCAGGTTTGATTTGTTGAATGTCACTGTGTTAGGTGGTATTACTTATAATATAGAAAAGTTCCTAAATAATCATCGTTTAATCGAATGAGTTATAGTAAATCGATTTGGTTGAGGTCACCGGTCACCGTCGTTGCATTCAACGTGTTAACACGTTGACTGCCACGAAAAACGTCAGCGTTTTATGTATCACTTATCGCTTTCCATAGCAAAGATACAAGGTAAGAATTATTAATTCTTTGATATGACCATTCTTATATTATTTAGTTATTTACGTTACCGAAAATTTGTATTCGAAATGAATTATCTTCCGAGTCATAATTATTTTCTTGTAATTTGAAAGCTTCGGTCATCGGTGACCGCCGTGGCAGTCAGAGTGATAATAGCAAATAAACTGATAAGATTTTCATACTATTTCTACCGAAGGTGTCGGAAAGTACCTTTTGAAATTGTCACTTAAAATTATTTTCTCGGTTTAATCTAATCTTCCCATGGTTAATTTTATAATCGTTATTGGAAAAGTGAAGAAGTCAGTTCAGAATATACGACTACACTTGGGAAATAATTTCAAGTCAAAATTTGAAACGGTGTTTGTCGACAGCTTTGGTAGAAATAGTGTTAAATAAATAGCATTTCTTTAGTGTTTGGTGTTTTAGCAAAATTCGTTAAGACGTTTCGTTGAAAAGTCTAAAGATAGATCTGATGTTTCGACAAAAGGTAGAAGGGAATAAAAATATTCCCCATTTCTCCTTAATCATTGTAAAGTGTAACTGAAAAGTTCTACTTCACGTCGGTGTAGGCGGGTAAAAAGCAAATCGCAGAAAAAGTAGTGAAAGGAAAATCTACCGTCCGTTTTATCGCGTTAGTCATCGTCCAATCCCGCGTGGAATATGCGTGTAACAAAACGATAAAACGTGGAGCCAGGCTGGGAAGGAATGGAAATAAAATTGCCGAGGATAATCTTTCAAAAAATGGGCAGCACTGTTCTGTTGTTCTTTCAGCTGGCGTTCTGAAATAAAAAATCATCTGTCAAGAGTCTTGTTGGAAATGGAAATTTCAACCTGCTGTTTTATGTGTTTCAGCGTGAAAACGGACTTAATGGAAGAGGGGGCCAATTCGACACTCAGTATAGCGAGGGTAGGACCAGCTGACAGTGGAAATTATACGTGTCATCTCACCACCATGCCTGACCAACCAGCCACGGTTCACGTGCACGTGCTGAACGGTGAGAATGGGCATTCTCTTTTCATTTAACACTAAAACTACCGGATGGGTCAAACCCACCCACTTCAAAATGCTTATTTTGCAAGTATTACAATTATAAAAGCATTCCTGCGAAAGATTTTCAATTAAATTCGTGTATTTGCATAGATACAAGCCTAGGACACCCTTCGAATCTCACGAAACGTATTGTTCTAATTGCAATGAAAATTTGGAAATGAGTCACTCTTTTCATGGCCTTCACCGAGTTCGATGAAACTGATATGTGTTATAGAGCTTGACGAACTAAATAATTAGCACTTTCAATGGTGACCCTAACCCCGATGGTTCCTGAGATATTCGGTGCATCTATGTCAAATATTTACTCACAACTTATAGTTCATGTCAGTCTATATAGAAGACATAGGGATCGCCAATTGCTCGGTAGTTTTAGTGTTAACCAGTTGCAGTGGAGAATTCAAAGACTCGTTAGAATCTACTTAAGAATTTTTTCTTCGCCTATTACGCATAGATATGTACACTAATTTTGTTTATTAATCATTTTGTACAAAGTGGTAGATTTGAAAACAATCTGGAATTTGTAATCTAATCAGACTGTCGACGTGTATAATATGTCGTTGGCAATTTTGGAACAAACACATCACGATGTGCATAATTCTCGGTCGATGATGCCCGAGTCTATTCTGACCCAAATTTGACGAAGAGTTTAATTACAGATCATTTGCATTTTTAGTTGATTAAATAGTACTCGATCCCTTGTCCTATGATTCTTTTTCATGATTGTGCTTGATAGAACGATTTTACTGATAATTTAGCAGAAAAAGAAAAGAATTTGATTCTTGTCCTGTGTTTATGTTAACTCTAGAGATTAAAGACTGATGATAAACAAGTAATATTTCGTTTATATGAGAAATAAACAGACATCATTTAGATTTGTCGAATTCGATTGAGAATTTGTACCACTAGAGTTATCAAACATATTAACAAACACGTTGACTGTCACGAAGAAGTTCAGGGTTTCATATATCATTTATTCTGTCGTAGGGAAGCTGAAAAGGAAAAGTTATTAATTATTTACTTTGAAATTCTTACGTTACACTATTAACACTATTTCTATTTCAGTGTCAAAAGACACTTTTGAAATTTTAACTTAAAATTATTTTCCAAGTTTACTCGTATATTCTGAATTCACTTCTCGACGTTTCCAATATTCTAAAACTAACTATAGGAAATGTCCAAAATTCAATTGAGGAAAAACGATGAAACTGAAAGAACAATTATAAGCTAAGATTTGAAAAAGTGTCTTTTAACACGTTCGGTAGAAACAGTGTTAACGTTTTCGTCCGACATCAGTTACCTTACAAATTATAATTTATATTTTCAATTAATTTGGAAGCTCGTTGTCTACCGTGACAGTCAACGTGTTAACGACAATGAACGGAAGTTAAAATACGTTTTAGGAATTCCGGTGCATAAATATTTTCGAAAAGTGGAACACGCGAATTAGCCGTTCACTCGGTGAGCTTCAAATTAGCCACCATTGACAGATATGTTCATAATTGAATGAAATGATGTAATCAAACATCACGCGTAATTCTTCAATAACGTCTGTTGCAGATAATATTATACATTCCCCTGGTTCCAAAATTAATGTTTCGGTCGAAACGTTCGAATTGTGCACAATGATTTCAACAGTGAACCGCCGTTAAATGTAGTATATTATAATTTGATGTCAGAAGCACAACATTCTAATGTTTATGCACGAATAATAATACGGAAAAATTGAAACGGTTGCGTGAAAAATAACGAAATTACGAACTGATATCGCGCGTTACGTTACGTTACACATTGACAGCAGTTTAAAGCAATTTTTTTATTTTTCAAACAGAAATGAACGTTTATACTGAATTCAGTTTTTAATTTCGGTTTATCGGTCGATAACAACTACAACCGTAATGAAGTGTACTCCTTTGACAAATTTTATGCTTGGTATTTAAAAATAAATACTTGATGAAAAAATGAATGAAAATGACCATCAAACAGCTTGAACATTTTTAATCGCGTATTTAAAAAGCTTTCTTCGTTGCGTATGTATAGAAATTTGAATAATAAATAAATCTCCTGAAACACCCATTTGCATGACATTGCGAACATATGGATATGTTTAAATAATTTTTTAATCAAGCGAGATATGCGTCGCATGCAAATTCCTTCGGATAGTATTCTGTTTATTTCGAAATCCGATGGTGTGAAATAAAATTTAAGTATTCCATGCAATAAAGCTGACGCTTTCCGCGCGCAAACCGTAAAAGGAAGCTACAAATAGATTTTGTTTCTGGTTGAGGGATGTTTATAGAACTATTCACATAATACCAAAAATGACTTGAGGTTTCCCTTAGTGCGATGCAGTCGTTTTATACGTGCATCAATTGTATTTATTGTTTACAAATTAATTGTATTAGGAAAATATAACAAAGTGTTATTCAAGCTATTGATCCTTAATGATACTCTGGAGAAAGAATCTCTAGGATAGAATTTATGTCTGCGTAAGATTTGCCCACAATAATATTGAACAATTATTATAGATTAGAAACTATACCAAAGAAATTATTCGTATAAGGTGATTCTCATTAGAACATAATCGATTAAATTTTCTCTAAAATTAAAAATGGATTCAAAGGAAAAATATTCTGTTTCGAAGGAAAATCCTTTTAATTATTTTTAATTGATACATTATTATTTATAATGTACTATAATATATTAATGTATTATATTATTTGATATGACCCACGTGGCCAATAAATTTAACGATCTTTCGAATAGTAAAAAACATGTTTATTAATGCTTTATTATTGCTTAATTACATTAAATATTCCAAATTATAATAAACCATCCGTTTACATTCGCAGCTTAATTCCATATAAAAGATTTCTTTCAGTTCTCATTACTACAGCTGGAATATCATTAATTGCTCGACAATTCACGTCATCATGCCCTGTTGAGTTTTTAGACTCTCCTAATAAACGCCCTTTTTGACAAATCCAATATGGTTTCTCTTACGATCAATAATGCATATCGTTCTCGTTAACACAGTCTTTGAAGGTCGCTTGATTAGAGAAGCATACGTAATAAAAAATTTGTTGATTTTATCGTAACATATGATTCGCCTATGTACAAAGGTTTATCTTATTTACAAAATCTTTGCCATCAAATCCTTGATCGGAGTTCATCTAATCTAATATCTAATATCTAATACTTTAATACCTACGTAAAATATTTTTTACTGTAAGATACAATACATTTGTTAAGAACAATTCGGTGTATGCTAACGTGTGGATTTAAATTAGTCACGGATAAAACAGCAATCTTCTTTGAATGTCATTCGTAATTGCGCTCGGAAAATAATTTAATTTCGACAGTATTTCTTCCACGTTTCCCAAAATATCCGCTGTTTTTAATCCTTTCCAGTCGAAGTCCGGGTATGACCCCGCAAAGCACTTCTACCATTGAGGACGAGTATCGCCCGGCTCAAACGTTCAACTGTTTCATAAACCGAGTGGCTCTTCTTTCAGCTACCTTGTCGTAACTGTTAAATAAATAAGTAAATATAAACCATAAATATGTTGGACATATTTATGTATAAATAAATAAATAAATATAAACCATATATATGTTGAACATATTTATATATAAATATATATATATAAATATGAATCATAAATATATATAACCATATAAATGTTAAATATATTTGTATATAAATAAATAAATATGGACGATATATATGATGAACATATTTATGAATGAATATAAACTATAATTGTATTAATTTACTTCCGACTAAATGCTACGACTAATCGGGTAGTCCACTCTCGGAGTGCTCCGACCGGAAAGGATTAACACGTTCGCGATTACGATCGAATTTGGAATGCTCTCACTGTGGACCGTGCTTTCATTACAATTGTTTCACCTGATATGTCATTCATATAATTGTTACACATTTAAAACATAGTAAGTAAACCAAACGAAGTATTTTACATACATCATACATGTGCGATATGTTGATATAGCTAAACCGACAAAATGGCGTACGAAACGTAAATCGTACTAGCTGTTATGGTAATATCTGAAACATGCTTGTTATCAGCATTAAAACTTTGCTTTTCACATTAGTTTAAATTATGCTAGTCTGTGTGAAAAACGTGAAATGAGCTACTTTTCTTGTTGCACGTCGATACGATAAAAATCAGTTCAAGATCAACTATTTAAATGTAAAATTCCCCAACTTCCTGAACATTTAACAAGAGATTCTTTCTTACTGGTTCGAACAGTTTCATTTAGTTCCATTTTCGTTCGTGTTAACAAAGGCATTGTTGGAAGCTGTTCCTTTATCAGTTCGCGAAAACAGATTGGCTGAAAGGAATCAGACTTGGTCTCCTAGGTCACCAGATCTTGTAACTTTGGATTCCTGCTTGGGGGACTGTAAAAGCAAAACTTTGCACTATAAAATCTACTTAAAATAAATTAATTACAAAAACTGATACTGTAGGTGTGAGAGGTAAAACCGCAGCAAAATTCGGTCCATAATAAATTCGACGATATGTTTATGTATATGTAATTAATTTGTTTATTTTAAGTAAATTATACAAATTTTTAATTTATAAATGTACACACCTATGCGTGTACAATTTCGCATTTCATATTTTTATTATAATCTTTATATGAAGTAATTACATTCAGCAGATTATCGAATTAAGCACAGTTATCATTTACAATTCTTAATTTATTTTCGCGTAATTTTGATATAAAACACATCATGGAGGAAAACGTTCGTTCAAAACAACTACGTGAAAAGGTGACGTTAAATGTATTTATAAACATTCTGTTACACGACAATTTGATCTTAGTATTACTTATAAAATAAATTTCTAAAATTCTTATAGGAACTGTAGGACACCCTATATATAAAAAAAACTGAAGATACTATTACTTTCGAGAAAAGTA